TTAATTTTTTACCCTTTTTTTTTTTTTTTCAAAAAAAAAAAAAAAAAAAAAAAAAAAAAAAAAAAACCCAAAAAAAAAAAAAAAAAAAAAAAAAAAAAACTGTAATAAAATCAGCTGGTTACATTTTTTAAAAATAGTTTTTATTCATTTTTTATACTATATATTTTTGATCATTAAAATGTTTTTTTTGGGATCATGCAGTTTGAATTTCCTTAATTTTTAACACTTTTTTTGTAATCAAATAAATAAAGCATTTGAAAAAAAAAGAAAAGTTTCCTAAAACAAGACTGCTGACTTTCTAGGGCACATATGACAAATAGTAAATGATCTTCAAAAGTGAAAACATTAATATCAAAATCAACTGCTCATTTAACTTTAAAACACATTTATTTTTTTAGGTTTTTTTTTTTTTTAGCATCCTTTAAGAAAGAAACATATATTTTAAGAGAATTCCTCCGTTTTACAACAACGGTGTGCTCACCTATCAACGATCCGTTCAGAAACAGCGCCACTCCGATCAGGGCTCCTATGCAGAGGGCCAGGATGAACGGCCTCCTCCGGCCCCAGCGCAGAGTGCAGCGGTCGCTGGCCGAGCCGATCAGCGGCGTGAACATGAGGCCCAGAACCGGGCTGAGAAACCAGGTCAGGCTGTAGTACTGCTCCGGAAGACCTGCAGACGGACAAGCAGACAACGGTTGGTTTTGTTTTCCTGCTTTGACCAGCAGGGGGCAGAAGGCGCTTTTTGTAAGAAATAAGTGTTGAGGTTTACATTTTAAAACCAAAGAATACAAATAAACCAAATAAATCTAACAATTTAACACCAGATGTGACAAGATGAAAGTGCTTATTCACTGGATGTTATATGGAAACATTCACAGCAGGAAACTCAGTCAGTAACTCAGTTTAGGAATAAAACTTATACAGTTTGATATATTTCAAGAGTTTATTTCTGTTCTATCCATCTCCATCTACAAGACATTATTATGAACTCAGCTGCAACTTTACTGCTCTGCATCCCAACTCTGGGATTTTAAATTTCCTTTGAAATGCATAAACCATTCTCATCTGAAAGCAGTCGTTTATATATATATATATATATATATATTTTTTTTTAAACCACAAATGTATGCCATGACTATCAAAATAAAGAAAAGTAAAAAAAAACTTTAAAAAAAAAAAAAACTTAGTACAAACGTATGACACTGTGTGATTAATCTGCTTATCAAGATGCACTTGATTGGCTACAATTTTTAGTGACATGAATAGCAACATATTTGTTTCTGTTTTGTTAACCTTAGTAACATTTTCAGATGAGGCAAAGGCGGAGGATTCATTCCAGACTGAATTATCACAATGAGGGCAAATGACTCAACAAGTCCCAGTAGGATTTTTAAACTCCATCATTAAAAATACATCTGAAAAATGTTTTTGTTGTTTTTTCTCAACCATTACAAATGCAGCCTTTGAAAGAAAGGCATTAAATTGTTACTTGATTCTGTATATTTTAACATTTTGTGTATTTTGACTTTGCTTGCTTTTTGATCCATTTCCTTTAGCTGAATGCCCATGAAATATTAAATAAAAACACAATGTTTTAGCAACATCAGTGTGATTTCCAATGAGCGATTTGCTGAAAATCTGAAAATGGTATTGATCAATAATTCTTTTAAAGTTTATTTTATTATTTTTTTCTTATTTTTTGTCACTTTTTCTCAGTACAATACTTGACCACTTTAACTAAAAGCTTAACATTCAGACTGTGAGTCAGATTGTTGTTAACTTTTTTAAATTTCTTATAAGAACATGCTGCACAAGATGCTGCCATGTTCAGGTGAAAAACAACCAAATTACAAAGATCAACTTTAGGAGACGTTCGCAAAGTTTCGAGAAGCTTTAATAAGATGAATGTTGATTGTGTAAAATTCCCAAAGGAAAAGGAGAGTAAATTAAATCTGACCTTATTTGTCATCAGCTCAGATTATTAATATGCTCTAACTTCCCAGCGTCAATGTTAGGCTTTCAAACGTATGGAAAGACAAACATGCTGTCAATGCCTCTGAATATCAGCAAAGAAACATTTCTGCTACTTCCTAAGCCCTCATCTATCAGTGGTGGTGATTGAAGGAGTTATTTTGGAAGACAAGGACGAGTGATGTTATTTAAAAAGACGAGATCTGCAAGTTAAACAAACTCATTTATTATAATTTGGTTTAGTTTGTGTGTTAATACTTTTTTTTAAAACACATGTAACTGAAATGGAAAATTAGATTTGTCAGTAGAGCTTCCTTTTTGCTTTGGGTTATATTTTGAAAATTTCTGAGGGTTTTATACTTCTGCTTTTCTAGCTTCTTGTGGCAGCTTGCTGTGTCGCAGTGCTAATGCGATCTTATACGTATTGGGGAGAGCAATTTTAGGTTTAGATCCAGCTGTGCTAGTTTTACCTCATTCCTCCAGACACGAAAACGGTGTCAAACTCGTTTTTGTTTTGGGCCAAATCAAGATCATTAATGCTCTTAAAGGGCCGGTTGCACCAGAATGCATTGATAAAACCTGATCACGAACTGGTAAAATATCAATGAATTCTTATAATGAAATATTATTGAACATCTTTTTAGTCCCTCCAGGATTTTATGATTCTTTTTGTGATTTTGTTTTTTGCAATAAAAATCAAAGTGTTTGGAAATATTTGTGATATTTGTGCTTATTTATGTCGGTAAATGCGACTTTTTATTACTCGCTGTATAGATCATGGACTATAATCTGACATATATTACAGCTGAGGCAGCTGTTTAGCACAAGTAAGAAAGTTTTTAACATTTTTGAGAAAAATCTGCAACAAACTCCCAATTATTAGTGCAATTTGTTGATTTTGCGTGAATTTCCACAATAATCCTCAAGAAACTGGAGGGACTGATTGATATCATTTGTCAGTAAACAGATAAAAACTGCACTGATTTGAGTGACAACATAATATTTAAGCAAATTTAGAGTTTGGTCTAGAATCTATAGGGCCGCATTAAAAGCTGTGGCGGGCCGGATTTGGTTTGACATGTGAACTAGATTAAAGATAGTTTTTAGCTGCCATTTTCTTAAACTACCAGAAGGAGGAGCTGCAACCCTGAAGGCCTTCCATTTTCTGAGATAAATCATCTAACAGTAGCTTATTAAAGTCACGGTGTCACATTTAAGAAGCTAGTATTCCTAAGCTTTAAGATGCACATAAAACAGTTTTGCATTTACAGTCCTGCACAGACAGCCAGAATCATGCAGTAGAGAGACATTTGCCCTAATTTAAGATAACACAGGTCATGTTCCCATTGTCCTTTACAAATGTTGACCTCTGCCTTTGCAAACTGGACTCAACCTCTGCCGCTTGTAGTGACACAGTCCTGGGAACTCTGTCACCACAGAGTCTCCATCACCTAATAAGGCCGCGCCATTTACAAAGTGTTTCCTGTCGAGGGGCTTTTTTAGACTTTTTATCTCCAGGTTTGTTTCTGTATTTAACTTAAAAATACACACAACACACACATCAACAAAATCAGCGATCCCATAAAAGTATGGGACAAAACAACAGATAAGAATCGGTTTGTCAACATCAAAACAGGAAACAGTTTCTAGTAAACAGTTCCCACACAATACAAAAAAAACAAAAAAAAAAACAGACAAAACGTAGTAAATAAAGACATGTCTCTGTTCCCAACAAGTCGAAAACTCAGTTCCCACACAGTTCTGGTACTGTATGTGCAAACACACACGTGCACGAGGAACAATAGTGAGAGTATCAAAACGCAGGAAGTATTTTAGAAAAAGAAACAAGTGCAAAAAAAAAAAAAAAGAAAAAAAAAACCAGAGGCCCAGGAGGAAACGGAGAGAAGGAGTGTGAGAAAGGACTGACATCAAACGGTGCAGAAAAGGGAGGGTGGAGAGAGTCAGGATGAAGGTGAGAAGAGGAGGAAATGCGAAAGACGGAGTCGGAAGAATGGAGAGTCTGAATGAAACAGTTTATATGATTCACTGATTGTGAGAAAAACAACAACTGCCTCCTCTATCATCAAGCCCTTTTTTTATTATGCACATTTCCTCCATGAACACAGCAAAAATAATGGTGCAGCTGTTGGAGTACAAAGTGACCATTTATCAGCATCTGCACAGGTTCTATGTGTTTTTCTTCACGTCTGTCCAACACTACAGAAAACAAAACAAAAAAAACTAACAACTTCCATTTGTTTTCAAATTGTAGAAAGAGTGTTGTTTCTTTTAGTTGGAGTAGAGATTAGAGTACCACATTAATTTACTTGTATACAAAGGATGTAGCATTAACAACTTAGCTCATGCAAGTTATTTTGCATGCATAAACCAGAAGGATGAACACACACACACACACACACACACTGATAACAGTTGGTCATATTGTTGAACACGTGCGCAGACGTCGCTGTGGGCCGAGACAGCCACACATCTTACATGTTTTGTTATTTGAGCGCAGCTTCTTCTGTTGTGTATCGTCTCATATTGTGAATTAAGTTCATTCAAAATTAACTGGAACAAACACTACAACAATTTATTTATTTTTTTCCCCCAATATTTTCAGAAGATGCTGATAACGTTCGCTTAATCAAACTTTCTGCTTCATGTGTGACCTGCAGGTCACAACTCAGTTTAGTCTGGGTGTAAATATAAAACACTGGTCAGTGGCCAAAAAAAATTGTCTGAGGTTTTAGGGTCATTTTGATGTGCAGCATCCAGAAATCACATTGGTTTTGCGCAATTAGGACAACTTTCTGAACTAAGCTACACATTAGTTTGGGATGCAGACATGATGGCTGATTGTTGTCAGACTCTGATGAGAGATAACTCTGCTGTTGCTGAGCAGATGAGGTGGTCAAAGAAATGGAAGTTCATGCCCTTAATTTTGCACAATGAAGACGTAATGTTCAATTTAAACCCTTATCAGGGTTTATTACTCAATTTACAGAAATCAAAGTTTGTATCATTTAATTAATACAGTTAGAAAACAATTTTTTGTCCTCCTAAAAGCTTTTTTGGATGAGAAACAAACAGAAACAAACTGATAATCTCACAAAAATGTCATCAATTTAGTCAGAAGATTGGATTCTCTGAATCAAATCAGAATAAAAACTTGACCTGATTGAGAAAAATGGATGTCATTTTTGGATCCAGCGGTGCAAAATTAGCCCTAATTCAGTTGAAAAAACAGGCAACATCCAAAAAAAAGATTACATAAAAAAAAAAAAAGATATCAGTCTCTGATTTAAGCAAAACTGATCCTGACAAGCCAGTTGAAAACTACAATATTTTTCTGATCAGTAAACACACCACAAGAGAGCGAAATGTAAGGCTGGAGACGATTACAACTGAAAACAAATGATTCCCAGTTAATTACTGATGACAGCTGTCAATTATCTCTGCAGGTCATCAGATTAAGGGTGAAACATCTCGACATTTCTGTCACTTTGATTCTGCGTTTGCAGGGAGAGACGGACTGGAGTTCATGAGCGAATGCGTTCAGTTTCAGGACATTTTGATTCAGAGAATGACCAGGAAAGAAACTGAGTTATTGATTCATCAGAAAAGCAAACTGGGAGGAAGAAACAGCAAAACAAAAATAGGGAGTTCGTATGTGCTCATCATCATCATCAGCATCAG